TTAGTGGTACACAGACACTCATGAATTATGATTACATATACAGGCAGTCCCCAAACTACAAACAAGATAGGTTCTGTTGGTTTGTTTTTAAGTTGAATTTTTATGTAAGTCAGAACAGGCACATTTTGTAAGTGCAACTCCAGCCAAATATATAGCTTTGTATAGCATAGGAAACGGTTAATACCCTGTGGTGTTTATTTTGCTGTCTGTGCCTGTTTGGAAGATTTCACCTCATTTTCTCTCCCTGGGATAATTGATTTTGAAAAAAAATGGCTTGTTGTGGAAACAAGGATTGGAGGTAAAGCTTCCGTTGAGACTCCTTTTCCCCATGACAACTCTTTCAGGAATTAATTTTTCCTTCCTAGAGGTAGATTTTTCTCACTTCCTGTTGCCTCACTTCTGTTCTTAACTAGGAGTTGTTTGTAAGTTGGATGCTTGTAAGTCAGGCACTACCTGTAATCTGAAGTACAAACAGGTAACATTTCCAAGATGTTCTATAGTCATTTAGAAAAGCTGTCTCTCTATTCATACTACTCAAGATTCATCATCCCCCAAGCTGCCTGAGCTGCTTTGGCACACAAGACAGAAAATTTGACAAAGACCATTCACTATCCCTGACAGTAAAAACATCACAACAACAAAATAAATAACTAACAATTTGCTGAGTCTGCATACCATCCAAAATCTGCAGTTTAAAGTGATGGATTCATGCCACCTATACCAGACACAACTTTCTCAATAAAGGCTTAGGCTGACTGCTCATTGAAATAACTACTTACTGATTGTGTTCAAAACAGGCTTGGCTCCCAAAAAGAACAATAAAGTTCATATTAATTGGATGCTGCCTTCAATCCCTATGGATTTATGGTTGCTTAATGAATTTTATAGTGTTAGACAAGGAATTAAGCAAGGAAGTGATTTTGCCAGTTCCTTCATCTGAGATTTAGCCTACAATGACAATTTGTTGGTTGTCCCCCATGCCAGGACTGATCTTGCTTAGCTTCAAAGATCAGGTGGACTTGGATGTACTGGTAATTACAGTCAGCATTCCCTATTCACTGGGGTTAGGAATACAAGACCCCCATAAAAGTGGGGAAAAAACCCACCCTGAATAAAAACAGTTATTTTACCCGAGACAACACCCTTCTAAGAATCTTTAGGTCCTCCAGAATTGCCTATAGAGACACATTGGAAGACTTACAAATGATTAGATTTGTGTTCCTTTCAGAAATCTCCAGGTCCTCTGGTGCAACTCTATAGCCAACCACTGGCCAGAGTCATGTAGGAGGACTTAGAAATACCTTTTTTTTTTGTTTATTCAGTTGCTTCCGACTCTTCGTGACCTCATGGACCAGCCCACTCCAGAGCTCCCTGTTGACCATTGCCACCCACAGCTCCTTCAAGGTCAAGCCAGTCACTTCAGGGGTACCATCCATCCATCTTGCCTTTGATTGGCCCCTCTTCCTTTTTCCCTCCATTTTCCCCAGCATCATTATCTTCTCCAAGCTTTCCTGTCTTCTTATTATGTGGCCAAAGTATGTCATCCTTGCCTCTAATATCCTTCCCTCCAGTGAGCAGTCAGGCATTATATCCTGGAGAATGGACTGGTTGGATCTTCTTTCAGTCCAAGACACTCTCAGAATTTTCCTGCAACACCAAAATTCAAAAGCATCAATCTTCCTTCGCTCAGCCTTCCTTATGGTCCAGTTCTCATATCCATAGATTACTACGGGGAATACCATTGCTTTAACTATGCTAGATATTTCATTCTAGAAATACCTTAAAAAGGTAAAGGTAGTCCCCTGACATTAAGTCCAGTCATGTCTGACTCTGGGGTGTGATGCTCATCTCCATTTCTAAGCCGAAGAGCCAGCGTTGTCCGTAGACACCTCCAAGGTCATGTGGCCGGCATGACTGCATGGAGCGCCGTTACCTTCCCGCCGGAGCAGTACCTATTGATCTACTCACATTTGCATGTTTTCGAACTGCTAGGTTGGCAGAAGCTAGGCTGACAGTGGAAGCTCACGCCGCTCCCCGGAATCGAACCTGCGACCTTTCGATCAACAAGCTCAGCAGCTCAGTGCTTTTACCCACTGCGCCACCGGGGGCTCCAGAAATACCTAGAGAGAACTTATTAATCAAATCTGAGAATAACCAAATTTGGTTATTCTCAGAAATACCTAGAAAGAACTTATTAATCAAATCTGAGAATAACCAAATCCGCAGAAGTGAAACCCGAAAATATGGTAGATGTTTTTTGGTACCACTAGGTGGCAGTCTTGCATTATCTTATTTGCCGGATACATTGAAGTCCAGTTTGATTTGTGAAGACCATATCCTAGCATTTAGGTGGCAAGATTTATTCAGATAGTGTGACTTGCCGAAGGTCACCAAGTGGGGTTTTGTGACTGAGCAGAATTTACTCAGAATTTTAGTATACTACACTGGTTCTTTACTGCTTCACTCTGAAGCCAGGTGTCATTTTCATCCCATTGGTGTCAGAGCTTGAAAACATTACTAGACTCCATGTAACAATGCAGAGGCTCCTGCTGTCACACTTCACATAGAAGTTGCTTCACTTAGAACTTGCTCAAACCTGGCCAGACTTTTGTTGTCAATTTTGCCTCCATCGGGGAAGCATTCCATCAAATTTGGCTGCCTAGAAATAAGTCAGGGGGGAAGAGTAGTAGTGCAGCTCATGAAAGATTTAACCAATTTTGACCCCTAGATAACTTTGCAAAGGCAGAACAATTTTTTCTTCCTTCTTTCCCTTATTAGAGGGAAAAATTAAGTAAATTCATCTATGTCTGTCTACCTCAAATACTCAGAGTGGGTCCTAAATCAAACCTACAATAAGCTTCTCTCGGTTCTGGTTCTTGTGATAAAATCACATCAACTGTTTGAAAAGCCCTGAGCAGTGCACAAAAATATTTGCAATGAAACAGGGTTTTTCTAGGGCATGTCATTGTGAAAGTACATGCAATTCCACTTAACTGACATCAGGCTCTAATGGCTGCTGGTTTTTAGCTCCTTTTTATATGTGGAAATTCTGCCTTTTATCTTTGATCCCTGATCTCTCTCGTTATTAAATTACAGGCTGACCCGGTTAATCCACGGTTGATTAATACGCACTGAATGTCTGGGTATCAGAAAGATTTCATCTGTCTCATGGCATGTACTGTGTGTACCAGGTTATTTTTTAATCTGTTTTTTATTTTTAAAGCAAAAAAAACTCTGAATAAAGTATGCGCATTGAGGAAGGATTAAACAGGTCTGGCTGTCACTGCTCACACAACAAGACAATCCCCTGTGCCTGAGACTTCAGGTTGAAACCCTTTTGGCAGGCTTTGCCAATATTGGGTGAGAATCTGACTCACAGTAAGGCTCTTTTATGCTGTGCTGGCAGCACAAGAAGGCTGAGCCTGTTCATCCCTCCTTAAAAGATTGCGTGTTTAAAGTCATGAAAGATCCTCCTTGAATATTGTACTGTTTCTACAAAGTGGTTCATAGTTTAAAACAGGCCTAGGTTGGTGGTGACATAGGTTGTATGCTCTTATTGTGTTGTCTGCTGCTGAACCTTGGCTGCAGATTCAAGCTCCACAAAGATATTAGTTATTAAACAGGTTATTATGTACAACCCCTTGGTGTGCTTCTAAATACAGGCATGCAGCAATGTTTCTCCTAGACCAAGGGGAAATCAGAAATTTCTTCATCCCCGCAATATGAAATTAATAAAAACGAAAGGGCATTAATCAGCAGAAATAAACACTATGCAGTAAGAAAAATATAGCAGCAAATCACAAAAAAACTGCCATTAATACAAAAGTAGAAAAGAAGAATAAAAATAATCAAGTATAACAGGTGACCCCAGTGGTGCAGCAGGTTAAACCACTGAGCTGCTGAACTTGCTGACCGAAAGGTCAAGGGTTCGAATCTTGGGAGAGGAGTGAGTTCCCGCTGTTAGGTCCAGCTTCTGCCAACCTAGCAGTTCGAAAACATGTAAATGTGAGTAGATCAATAGATACTGCTCCAGCGCTTCATGCAGTCATGCTGCCCACATGACCTAAGAGGCGTCTATGGATAACAACGGCTCTTCAGCTTAGAAATGATGAGCACCAATCCCCAGATTCGGACACGACTAGACTTAATGTCAGAGGAACATTTTTACTTTTTTACAAGAGGCCCTTCTGAAAAGTCAAAGGTTCATTTGGCTATCTAATCAATGTTCATTGACATGACACGAGAATAGCACTCCATCCTATACCCCAAACCTCTCTGTTTATTCCTCCCTTCTGTTTTTCTTATTTCCTTATCGTTGTGTTTTCTGGAAAATCAGTGAAATCTGTTTGCAAACAGAAATGAGGGCTAAGGAGAGCCTTTGCCATAAAGTGCTCAGGAAGGAAAGAGAATTTGGGTAAAAAAAAAAATACTGGGTTTTATAGAACCATGATAAAGTCTCTATAAAATTATCAGAGCTAGAGAAAAAGTCACTTTTTAGGACTATAGGTCTCCAAATCCCACAGTAACCCTGAGAGTTATAGTCTGGAAAAATAACTTCCAATATGTGGGAAATACCTATGACTTTTTGCAGTGTATTTTAATTCATTTTGTACTTTTAATAATGCATTCTAATTTTATAATCAGCTGTCATGTGCAGTAAAATACATACTTATAAAATGATGTCACCCTTCAATACATTACTGATACTTTACTATAGTTTCTTGGAACTCACTGGGCATTGGAAACCAGTGGATCAGTAAAGCCTTACTTTGCTTTGCTTTATTTCCTTAACTGAAACTAAACCCTATCTCGTGGAACTCACTGCTACAGGATAGCATTGAGACAAAATAACTTAATAGGATCAAGGGAAAATGAATAGTGACTAAGTGGATAAATAGCGAGCTAATCCTTCACAGTGTTATGGCTGGAGCCATCACTGCTAACTGAAAGGCAATCAAAAGCTGATCTTGGGGACAGATTATTTCATCAACGCCCATCCACTGGACTTCTTTGCACCTTTTCCTGAGATATAGCTGGCACCGGCCTCTGTTTGCACAGTATCCTGGACTAAAATGATCTACTTTTTGGAGGCAGAGGGGCTCAGACTGCTTCAGGGTGAATGCAAGGACATCCCACTTGAAGGATCCTGCTGCCCTTGGCATCTCAGGCAAAAGGTAGGCACATCACCTCTCATTCCCTCCCCATCCTTCTTTTTTATTTAAACCCATTTATGAGTGGGGACTCAAGGCAATAAGTACATAAGTGTCTCTCCCCAGACAGTGATGATCGTTCCTGACTTTTGTCCTTCTCATTTATAAAAGATCTCCAGTTTCACATGCCAGAAATGTTGAAGACCAGAATTCTCCTGTCTTCAGCTGGTACCTTCCCCTTTATGAAATATTGAACCGTACCAGGGATGGTCAGAAAATGGAGTAAAAAGCCACACTGTAGAACTAATACAGTTTGACAACACTCTGTCACTTGGTGCTGTGAAATTATGAGAGTTGCAGTTTTACAAAGTCTTTAACCTTCTCTGCCAAAGAGTGCTGGTGCCTCACCAAACTTCACATCTCAGCATATCATAGCATTGAGCCTCGGCAGTTAAAGTATCAAAGTGTAGAGTCAGCCCTAGTGTCTATTTGAAGGCTGTTCCGCACATTACACTGATCAAGTATATCCACAAAACATTTTACATATAGTAGCTGAGAAAGAGCCCCCAGTGGGGCAGTGAAACCACTGAGGTGCTGAACTTGCTGACCAAAGGTCAGCGGTTCAAATCTGGACAGTGGGGTGAGCTCCAGCTATTAGCACCAGCTTCTGCCAACCTAACAGTTTGAAACCATGTGAATGTGAGTAGGTCAATAGGTACCGCTTTGGGGGGGGGGGGAAGGTAACAGTGCTCCATGCAGTCATGCCAGCCACATGACCTTCTTTAAGCCCATAACTCATTTTCTGTTTCCACGATCCTTGGAATTCTTGGGGCATGGATTCATTTCTTTTGCTTATATTATTCTTCCAGAAATGTTTTATACTGATGATACTGCTGTGATGATTCTAAGAAGAGGAGCATGAGAAATGAGCAGTGACTCCAATCTTATAATACAAGTCATCCCCTGCCACGCATTGCTTTGGCCCAGTCTGTGTATATGTGTTTCATGTGTGTGTGTGTGTGTGTATATGTGTGTGTATATATTTGTGTATATGTGTATACATGTGGTTATGTGCATGCATTGTAATACATGAGGTTTTTTTTTTGCTTTTTAAGTCTCTTCTATTGTGTTTTCCAGTGTTTTTATGAGTGATGGTCACTCATTGGCCTGACAGGTGTATTGTGTGCAAATTTGGTGTCAATTCATTCAGTGGTTTTTGAGTTATGTTAATCCCACAAACAAACATTACATTTTTATTTATATAGATTTTAGTAATCAGCTTCAAGCAACTTCTGGGCAATTTTTAAGAGTTGCATCCAAAACAGTGTCCCTCTGGTAGCAGAACTGAGACCACTTGTGGAATGTATTTCCCTTCCTCCTGCAGTCTCACCTCTTTATGTGCCCGATAAATCTCTTCCAAAGAACTGGGGGATCTTCTAGAGGAGATACAGTACTGGAGGGAGGGGAGAGAAAGCAGAATTCCCATTACATGAGTGAAACCCTATTAAGATGTTACTCTCAGCCTTAGTCTCCACCTGGCTTCGGGGGATAATAATTCAGCTGATCTATCTTTCTGGGTTGTTGTGAGTGGTATTTATAGGTTTTGTTGTTTTCTGCCTTCTAGTCATTTTGGACTTTGGGTGACCTTAAGGTGACTCGATTGTTTTCTTGACAAGATTTGTTCAGAGGGAGTTTGTTTTTTGTTTTTGAGAGCATGCATGTTGCCCAAAGTCACTCAATGGGTTTCCGAGGCGGAATAGAGAGAAACCTTGGTCTCTAGAGTCATAGTTCACTGATCAAACCGCCATACCAAACTGGCTTCCATTTAATTAGCTAGATCCCACCAAATCTTGTATTCAGAGAGAGAAACCTAACTATCTGTGATTATTAATCACACCCACACATGCTAAAGACTTCAAATACTTCAAAACATCCTAAATAAATGCTAATCAACATTACATAAGAATTAAATGGGTTCTTTGCAAGTTCATGGGTCATCCTCTCATCTGGCATGCACTGAACTAAAACTAGAGCAGGTGGAACGAAAAGGTGAATGCGAGGACCAGCTGCAGGATACAGCAGGAGATACATCCAACTGTCATCCAGTCTCAGTGCCTCAGAACATTTAATATATAGAGATTATCTCTGGATCAGGAATGGATAAAAATAATGCCACTGCAAAAACCCACACAGTGTAACAAAACCAAATCAGAACTTGGAAAAAGTTACTTTTGAACAAAGTCATCCAGAATCCGCTTTGAGTCCCCTTCAGGAGAGATAAAGCAAGAGAGATAAATAAAGATAATAATAATAATAATAATAATAATAATAATAATAATAATCCCCCAGCAAACATGGCCAGTGGCTATGGCAGTTGGGGATTCTGGTAGCTGTAGTACAATGTACTTCTTGTCCAAATTGTTCATTCAAAATTTTTGATTCAATCCTGGCATGCTCCTCCTTCTATCCAAATTTGCAACAACCGAATTGTGACTCAGCTCCAGGATAATCATGTAGGTTCACAATGTTCAAACCTGGGAGACTACTTTTTTCTGGACCAGGACTCTTCATGGGAGGCAGGGAAATGCTTCTGCTCTACATCTTTGGTGCACACGAGCAATCTTTTCTGGGCTACAAGGATATAAAATATTGCATTTGTGATGATTCTATAAGCAGATACGGAATGGGATGGGATAAGAGATTGATGGATCTTACCTGCAACATTTTTGTTAAGTTTCTTCAGCAACATCTTTCCAAGGCAAGTTTGCTGTTTTCCAGACTTCTTCGCTTCTCTCCCTGAAACCAGCTGGCCAATAAAATTAAGAGGCTTTTCTTTCCTTTTATATGCCGAAGGGGACAAAAACCTTCTGGATCTCGACTACAGCAACATGCTTTCACCTAAATTCTTCTCCTAGACATCAGACGTTGGACGTTAACAAAACAAGGAGAAATCTACTGTTCACTTGCTGTCTGTATCTTATTTGAGATGCACTACTCAAGGACTGATATAAATCAATTATCTTTCCCTTACATTAAAAACGGTTAAATGCTTTCAAGTGACAGAGGAAATGGTGAGTCTCAGCCTAGTACTGGTAAGTCCTGGAGCTAAATATCTTCCAGAAGATTACTTCCTCTAACCTACTAGTTATTTTTAATTAGACAATTGGAGAAGGAGGAAAGAAAAAAAATGCATTCTTGTATTTCCTTGGCTGACTCTCTTTCTCTCTCTCTCTCCCTCCTTTGAACATATTAAATCTTGAGAAAATCCAAGATTTCTCCTTTTCCTCTAAGCTTAACCAGTTTTATGTAACTGCACTGGAGATGGGACAAGGGCAAGGAATGTCCGGTGTATGTGTGTGCAGAGGATGCTCAACATAAATCTACTAATTTGCAAAGGGAATGTGATGGAAAAAACACTTTAGCTCCCAAAATGACCTTTATTTTTATTTCCAGCGGAGGATTTAAGATAAAGGGTATTAGTTAATCAGATCCTGGGAAACAGATGTTAGGTGATTTACAGAGAGGAGTCAATGAGACAACTTTTCATTTGAAATCAGCATGGAAAACTCAGCATCGTATTGCATGTTTCTTTTGTGGCTTTGCAAAGACATTAGTTTCATTTCTAAAAGGGAAGCTAAGAAAGATTCCCAGACTGTGGGTGGTGCTCAGACACAGCCAGGAATAGTTCTTGGCTTCCTTTATCAGGATTTTGTATTTAGCCAGAAATTAAGTTTTATAGTGAATGAGTGAATTTCTTTACATTCTCAGCAGAGGAAACATAGTGAGGAGAAAGAGGATAGCACAGCTCCATAGTATCAGCTGGGAATGGGCAGAAGAACTTGTGTATCTCATGCTTCATCACAGTAGAGAATGAATCCACTTTAAATCCAGTTTCTTCCTCCTGCAGAATTCTGGGATTTGTGGTTTAGTGAGGCTGTTAAACTACAAACCTCAGAATTCTGCAGGAGGCAGAAACTGGATTTTAAATCGATTCATTCTCTAGTGTGATGAAGCCGTGAGATGCATTCATTTGGAGCACCCAGTACAGTATAGTACAGTACTGATCCATGCTCATCCTTTCAATAATCTGCAGAAGTGATGCACATGGCACATGGATACAAGGGTATGGTGTAAACACTACCAAAATGAACAGGGACACACAAGAATATCTCCCCTTCCCCTCTAGTGTCTGTTCAGGATGGAAAATAGATCTTCTGCTCAATAATTAATATCCACCAGAGTCCATCTCTATGGTACAAAATGCAAGTCAATCCCATTCGGCAAAGGTCCTCAGTTTCTTTTGCTCAGGTTCTTCATTTATTAGTATTCCCTGTTTTGTGCTGTTTAGAGGAATGTCCATGATTGGTCCCTGAATAGTTTAGTTTCTAATTCACTTGGGGTGAGAGGGAGTGCTGATAATAATGGATTTCTTGCATTATTTGATAAGCTATGCACAATTCTTTCTTTGTTTTTATAGCCTTCCCCATATCATGAGATTGGAGGGCAAAAAATCAAATAAAATCAGTACAGCTTGAGTCTTCATTATGAGAAATGCATGAGACAAGAAGTGTTTTGCATTTCTAATTTTTAAGATTTTGGAATACAGCAGAGTCTCGCTTATCCAACATAAATGGGGCAGCAGGACATTAGATAAGCGAAAATGTTGGATAATAAGGAGGGATTAAGGAAAAGCCTATTAAACGTCAAATTATGTTATGATTTTACAAAGTAAGCACCAAAACATCATGGTTTACAACAAATTGACATAATGATAACATTATGAACGAAGGTTGGATAAACGATACTCTACTGTACCTGTATTTGCATATACGTACATAATGAGATATGTTGGAGATACCTCCAAATCTAAACATAACATTTATTGATGTTTCTTATAAATATATTGTGAAAGTAATTGTATATATATATTTTAAAATTGCACACAAAGCAAAGTTTGTGTACAATACATTGAACTATCAGAAAACAGAGGTATCACTCTCTCAGCCACCCAATTTTGAATACTG